GGTCGCCCTCGACGTCGCGCTGCAGGGCGACGTCGAGCATCGAGGGGGACACGTCCATGCCGACCCAGGTGTGTGGCCCGCCGCCGGCCGAGGGGGACGCGGCGGAGAGGATCTCGCCCGACAGGCCGCTCCCGAAGCCGCGGGCGGGGGGATGCGCGAGGGCGACTTGAGGTCCAGGAGCTCGAGGGCCCGGCGGGTCATGGACGCTTGGATGTTTTGGATCCGCGAGCTGGTGGTGTATTTGCGCGCTTCGGTGTCATCGTAGTGCACGTCGGCTGCGCTGCGGGTGGGCGGGGAGACGGGTTAGTTCTTGGGGGTTTTGCAGTGTCGGTGAGGCGGGGGGTGAGGGTTTCCATACAGGGTGTCCTCGGGGCGGGACATGACGGGCGGTTCTTGGTGGTTGATTATACTGTGGTATATTGTTGGCTGTGGTCGTGGGATTGAGCGCTTGACATCGGGTTGGGTGGTGATTTGGTGTCGCTGTTGGAGCTGGCATTGGGACGCTTCTTTTTTTATTCTCTTCCGTGGACGAGGAGCTATCGATAAGACGTGGTGGCGGGGTGCTGCGGCGCACCGGCACTAGCCACACGGGCTTGGCGTGGCCGGGCCAGGGACCGCCACGGCAGCTACGCAGTCTTATATGCTTAGTTGTGACTTGTCCTCAACACCAAGGGTTCACCCTTTTTTTTTTTTTTTGGCTACAATGTACCTGGTGGGTAGTTTTCCCCGCGGCTGAATATTCAAAAGCACGGCGGAGGCATCTGGCAGCGCGCTCAGAGCCCATGCGCAGACAATCTGCGTGCCCTGCAACGCAAAGTCGAGATTGAATTGATGCCGAAAGCAGTGTCCCGCTCTGGAAGCGACAAGCCACCCCTGAACGCGTCCTCTGTCCACTTGCCTGGTACTAGTAGTACTACTAGTACTACTCCGTACACCAGACGCCATTCAAAACTCCAAATCTCGTCCACCACCTTGCCATCTGTCCTTTTTCATACCCTCCGCCTCTACCCCCGTGGTGATAATAACACGTCTGATTCCTCCCCGCTCCTTTCTTCCCCGACCTCGTCTTCGACACACAAGCAGCCATGTGGATCCTGCCACTGATCGGCTATGCAGGCGCCATCATAGGCTTCTGCTTCCTGACGCTCGCCATCGCCTCCGGCCTGTACTACCTGTCCGAGCTCGTGGAAGAGCACACCGTCATCGCCAAGCGCCTGCTCACCCGCCTCATCTACACCCTCATCGGCGTCCAGGTCGCGCTGTGGCTGGTGGACGGGTTCCCCTTTGGCGCGACCATGCTGGGCGTCTTTGCCCACGTCGTCTACCTGGGCAACATGCGCAGGTTCCCGTTTGTCAAGCTGTCCGATCCTCTGTTCTTGCTATCATGCGGTATGATTCCTTCGCTCCTCCCCTCTTGCGGCCCAGCTCCCGTGTGAGAAGAGAAGCTGACAGCTCAAATAGTCCTGGTCCTCGTCGACCACTACGTCTGGTTCCGACACTTCTCCGACGCCCAGACGCGCGCGTACCAGCAGCCCTCGTACTATGACCAGGTCGACGTGCCGAGCTTCTCCATGATCGCGTCCTACTTTGGCCTCTGTGTGTGGCTGGTCCCGTTTGCGCTCTTCGTCAGCTTGTCGGCCGGCGATAACGTGCTGCCCACCATGGGCACTGAGCCGGTGCGCGGCGCCGACGGCCGGGCGAAGCCGCAGGGCATGGTCAAGGCCGTCGTCGATTACGTCCGGGGTGTTATTGGCGATGTTGCCGGGTCGAATGCTTTGGGCCGGCCGTGAGCTTGGCAGGTCAAAAAGATAAGAGACGAGCCGAGATGTCGTGTCGACAAATATCGTGCTATTGCTCGCGTGCGCGAGATGCCGGCTTGGCTGTTCCATGTAGACACAGCCGTTGCCGTGGATAATGTCGGACAAGCAAAACCCCGGTATGGCCCTTCACTGTTGCGCTGGCTTCACGCTCCGGTTTTGGATGGCATTTGCATCTCAGCAGGCTGTGGGATCCATTCTACGGGTGCAAAGGTCAAAACCACGCCACAACATGGCATCTGCTGTTGGCGCTTTATTCACACCTACCAAGGCTGATATCGTATACATCCGCATTGGCATCCCCCTGGATCAGACAGCGTGAGGAAGCGATCACCTACCCAGAATTCCGGTTTCAGTCCACCACATCCACCATCATCTCCAAGCGCAAAACGGTGTCCGCCAAAAAAAAATCATTACACTCGTGTAAAATATCCCATAATGTATAATGAGTCAACGAACGTACCTAGTAAAATAAATAAAATAAAATAAAAACCATGACCATCCCGTAACGTCCGCGCAACACCCAAGTCAAGCAGCCTCAACTCGTAACCTCACTCCTTCCCCCCCTTGTTCCTCCCCTTGTCGCCCCAGAACCTACCGTCCACCATGTTCTCCGGGCCCTCCCCGCCGCCGCCGCCGCCGTCGTGCGTCCTCTCAAACTCGCGGTTGTGCTCGTCGACCTCGCGCCTCTGCGCCTCGCTCAGGCCCTTGTCGTCCCCCGGCGCCCCGGGCGTGCTGAAGTTGAACACCTTTGGTTTCCGCGGCGACCCCTCGGCCGTCGACCCGAGGTCCTGCCCGCCTGCGGCGCGGCCCTTGGCCCCGACGCCGCCGCCAGCAGTCGCTTTTGCCGCGTGGTCGCGCGCGAGCCGGCCGGACGCGTGGGCGCAGCGGTGCAGGGTTGGCCGCAGCATCTTGGTAGCATGTGCGTTTGCTGGCGTGGGGTGCGGCGGGTTCCCTTTTGGAGAGACCGGCGTGGTCTTGGCCAGGCTGTAGGGTCGTGGTTCGTTATAGTGTCAAGTATACTTGGGTCTTTGTTGCGGTTGCTAGCCGGGTTTGATGGGGTGAGTGGGCTGAGAGGATTCAAATGTTTGTTTTGGAAATTCACTTCTTTCCACTTGATCGCATGTCTTTAGCATGTCTTTATAGAAAAGATATTTCTGCAATTGTAAGCTGTTCCGTGACGGAGATGTGGCGACACTTGCAAACCCGATGATGTCACTTGGGATCATCACCGTGTAGAAAGATCGGACAACGGGCGGAGAGGGGTTCGTTAGTTGTCGCCCCTGCTACTAGTAGCCCAAGGTTATTTTGACGACAAGTTACACATCAACTTGGGGCTAGTACCGGTACGGGTTACTAATACCAGACATCTCCCCGATTTATCTACAAGCATCAAGTTGGGCTGTTTTCTTGGACAGCATAGATGATGACATGCATAGAGTCAAGAGGTCCGAGTCGGTTGATTCATGTCATTATAACGCAAAAGTGCGTAGCAGTGTCTGTGTACAATCTCTGATCAAGTATACGCCAGTGCGCTCATCACTAGTCGTCACTCGTCACTTGCCCATCCGGTCCGTGTGTCCATTTTTTGCTGCATTATTGCATCGTATTGTCATGCTGAGGTATCTCCTATCAATCCTGGAACACATCATTTTCAACCTCGAAGTGGAATAACTTATACACTGATACCGCTTCGTCTTTCCTAAGCGTACAATTGTCGTGGCCATCATGCATTTGTCCACTGACCACGCTTTGTGACTAGAAAATGAAATCCTGCATTCTGAAACCTTTGCTATGCTTCTTAATCTGTAGCACTTAGCAAGTGTTCGATGGCGCCCTGCACGCTGCCTCCACTCCTTCGCAGGGCCGCAACATTTCGGTCAAAGTCGTAGAACCCCATGTCGTTCAGCTGGCGCAGCTGTTCGGCATATCGCTCCTCCGGCGGTCGATTGTCGGGAGCTGCGGCTGGCATACCTGGGCCCATGCCTCCGAGATTCATCGACATTTGCTCCAACAGATCAAAGTTCGGGTGGGCGTTGAGCGCACTGCCCCCCGTCAGCGCGAACAATTGAGCCAAGGGGTTGTTGGCAGCATTTTGGGTCTGACTGTTCTGAGGAGCCCCAGCTGCTCCAGTGTCTGAAGTAGCAGCCTGGTGCTCTCGGGACTCGGCCGTTGGCGTGGTTCCTTGGGAGTTTCCAGTGGTGGAAGCGTTGGTTGTTGGAGCTTGGGCAGTCGGGCTGGGGCTCATGGCGTTTAAGCTTTGAAGCATCTGGGCAAGGTTCATGGCGTTGTTACCCCCAGCAGCACCACCCATCATTCCGGGCATCATGAATGGGTTCATGAAAGGATTTGGTGGCTGGTTGTTGTTCGCCTGGCCAGCGGATCGGTTGCCGCCAGCAGCAGCATCTGGCGTGGTATCGGTGGCGCCAGGGGCAGGGAAAGATGAGTCTCCCCCACGCATATTTCGTTGCATACGCATGGCTTGGCCCATCATCTGTGGGTTGCTCATCATCTGTCGCATAAACGGGGATGTGATGATTTCTCTTGCGTTGGGCATGTTGCGGAGCATTGGGTTCGATTCGATGAGCATGTTGACAAAGTCGGGATTGTTCAAGGCCTCGTTCATGGACTGCTGAACATTGGGGTCTGACATCATACGTTGGATGCGCTCCTCGTCCATGGGGGGACCCATCTAGAGATGTCGGTTAGCATGTAGTCAGTGCCGGAGATGTGGTTTCTTGGATAAGGAGGGCGTACACCGCCATCTGGGCCGAACATGTCCATGCCCGGGAAGTTGATCTGGTGGCCGGCGTAACGGGCGCCGGTCAGGCCAGCTAGCGGATCGTTGGGGTTGGTTCCAGCCGAAATGTTGTCTGGAACGGCTCGAGGGGTGGAACCGGATGTCGAGGTCTGCTGGGTAGGGTTGCTCGCTGCGCTCTTGACCATGTGGATGGTGTTGTTCTGCTTGATGTTGTAGGATCCGAGGGTCTCGTCATTCTTCATGACGCGGCCAGAGTAGATGAGGCGTTGTCTCTCGACAGGGATGTGCTCGAAATCTTGGCCAGCAAGCTTGGTCTTGAGCTCCGAGACGGTGGCCGACTCGGCCATTGTGATGGTGTGGTTGCTGTCGGCAGATGTCTTCACCTTGAAGGTGACGTGCTTATCGCCACTTGTCTCGGCATTTTCGGCCATGGCGACGGTTTGTCTCTTGAGGCCGTCAGAAGCGTCGAGTGTTTGGTTTGCGCCTGTGCGGGTGGGAGCGAACCGTTGTCGTTTGTCGCGGGGGCAAACGAATGCGACTGGGACTGGACAAGGCCAGCCAAGAGGAGGCGAGTATTGCTCGAGGAGGTCCGGACGGTGGCTTCGAGAGTAGAGATTGGGTATGGCGACAAAAATGTCCTCAACCGACCGAGGTGTTGCTTGGAGAGGGCAAGAAAACGGGGAGCAGAGGGCAGAGGACAGAGAGTCTGCGGTTGAGGATGCAACACCTTTGACGCTGGCGATTGCCTGGTGTGGGCCGATGACCAAACCCTTGGCTGGCCTCTTGGTAATGGTCCGCACTCGGCAGTCGGTTCGGAGGAGTTCTTGAGCACACGCGGCGGTGGACCACGCGCTGAAGGACGGCTCAAAGGGCTTTGGAGGTGAATGTTCGATAGACGCCCACGGCCTTCGACAGCTCAAGGCGACGTGGGTCTGGAGGCGTCGGCGGTTGACTAGAATAGGCTGGGGGGCAGTTAGCTGGCTGGCTGCGCAGACTGGGAAGCAACCAAGACGACGAACAACAAACGGCCTAGCAATGTGGCCGGGCCCGAGTACTCGAGGCCAACACGCACAGGGTCAAAAACGATGTAGGAAGAAGGACAAAGATATGCTGTATGTCGCGCAGCATCACGGTGCGTGGTCAAGGCCCAGACGGAGCAAAGGGTCTCTAGGCCTGAGGGACACCAGCACGGCGCATCATAGGCAGTCGGGAATTTTGGGAAACGAGGCGACAAAGCAGAACACGTTGGAGGGTGAGACGAGGGCCCATCCGTGTCTCACAACGAAAGCAAGTGCCTACCCTTTGTAGCTCCTCTGCACCTGCCTCCAAATCTTACATGTACTCCGTACCCATCCACCAGTTAAGGGGAGAACTGCCACCAGAACCTCCTATACATACACCAGACGCTTCATGGACAGTCATCTTTGTCCATCTTATTGACCGCCGGTCCTATCTAAACAGAAGGGACTGTCCGTCTCCGGCTCCCGTTGCGTTGATGAATAATCCGGGCTAGCTGGGCTCGAGCCACCGCAGATACATAATGCTTCGTACTTAAGTAGGCTTGGCTTTACCACTTGTGCAGCACGTGTTTGGATGCTTGATGACAAGGAGCTAAGCGCCAATGATCATTTCCCCAATATTGCTTGGCATAAACTGATACATGGGGGCAGTGATTACAGCATATCCCTTCCACACTCAAAAGACATTGGGCTACGGCTGCCACAGGAGCAGCCTTCTACATCCCTGAAAAGCTGGGGAGACGGTCACCTTGAATCGTTACATGGCGCTGGCCATGACCATGACCATTTTAGCTCTTGCCACGAGGTACTCGACACCCAAGCTCAAAGGAGCCAACAGGCTTTGACGCTACCTTTCACGGACATGCTCGACAAGTTTAGGTTGTGGTTTGATGCATCGGCTCTTGCTCTACTCTCCATGTCACCGACTTGAACAGGTGGTCCCAGGATGATCTGTGGTTGCCGGCCTGCGTATTATGCAGCTGGAAGCCTATGTACACCCACTGTATCTTGCAAACTCTGCCTTCGCTGTTGGTGCTCCAGCGTCCACTAGCCACCTGCTCCCGTGCTCCACATGTAGTTACGTACTGGCAGCCTCAACTGTGTGCATGTCTCAACACCATAATCTCAATCACCACCGCACAAATCTACATCCCATCCACATCAATATCAAGCGGCTCAATTTCCAGCTCTCCACGCATGATGAGCCAAAGAACCCCAACCATGAACGTGTAGACAATAAATTCCCGCAGCATGAGTCCCTCTCATTCTCACCACTCCACCTCCTCCTCTTGATACCAGTTCCCACCTCAGGTCACATCTCATCTCATACGATTCCTCCACCACCATGATCCAAGGCATCTTTTACGCAAGGTTCTTCCCCCAAGAAGGTATACACTCTTCACTCTACATCCGACATGAAAACTCTCCAACCAGAAAATCAACTCACGCACTCAACCACTCGTAGGCCCCAAAATCGTCGCCCAATCTCCTCCCGGATGCATCACCCCCTCCGAGACAGCCCTCACCACACGCCAGCCCCTCATCGACTTCGACGTCCTCCACGAATACATCATCCCCCGCCAGGCCTTTTGCAACCGCTACGTAACCATCAACTCTCCCGACGGCAAGTACACCGTGCTCGGCTACCCCGTCGTCATCGCCCACACCAAGTATCTCCGCAACGAGTTCATCTTCAACTTTGGCATCCTCATCGAGGCCGATGTCGACCAGGCTCCCTACGAGGGCGTGGTGAGGTACCTCGCCGCCACCTTTTCCGAGATGGAGAAGCAGAATGAGTATCTCAGCCAGGGCGAGGGCGACGGGCTCAGGAACCACGAGGCAAGGCGGCCCATCGAGAGCTTGCTGGAGATTGTTAAGGAGGACCTGAACAACTACGGCGAGTGCATGATTCCCGTGGGTGAGTACCACGTCCCGCCCTTTTTCCCCTTCTCATGTCCGGCATGTCTCTTGACAAGAAAAAAAAATCGAGTGGTGTAGACGAAGCCAACACCATCAACATGAAGCTCTTCCCTCACCACCGCACGCCCACCGCCGTCGAGGGGTGGCACGTCCCCGTCGCCAAGGTCAAGTTTGCGGAAATCGTCGACCCGACATGGGACCTGACGCTGCAAAAAGTCGTCGCCAAAATCGACGGCGTCTCAGACGTGCGCCGCATCGCCCACGCCGCCTCTGTCTCGCTGGACCTCGCCAAGTCTGCCCTCCGCCATCTCCTCTACTACGACACCATTCTCCTCATTGACATCTTCTTCTTCAGCTCCTGCTACGCCCCGCGGCCCGGGGTCCACGACTTCATCTGCAACGTGGACGGCATTGTGGACGAGTGCGCCGGCTACGTCTCCCACGGGCGCGGGAGGGTCAGCAACTACCACCTCGTCAAACTCATGTCCTCCTTTGCGCCGAGCAAGAGCGTCAAGGAGTGGATCGTGGCTAGTCAGGAAGCTGGCTTCGACGTACTGAACTACGTTGATGTCCGGCGGTTCGTGCAGTTTGGCATTATAAAGGGGTGCTTGTACCGCGTGCACAAGTACGTCCTTTCGAAGCAGCATCTCGCCGCGCTGGCGTCGGGCGAGAGCCGGCCTGTGCCGGGGGGAGATTCGCTGCAGAAATATACCGATGGCAGCCATCATTTTGACCAGATTATCACTGAGCAGAATTTGACGAATGACGAGATTATGGATAAGTTAAAGGTATTGCCTGTTCCAAAGGGCGATCTTACGGTGCTGTACAGATGAAAATATGGAATCCGGCGTTTTTTCTCTTCGGTGATGGGGATCTATGGTATCAGAGATTATGTTACAGGCTAATGGTACAACTGGTTGTTTAGAAAAAAAGAATTTACAGGCGGATGGATTTCCGCATCCCATGTTACACACATGCTCGCCCACTTTGCATCGGTGCATGTCTACCACTTGGACTTGTTCTGGCTCCCGCGCCCATTGGTCTGCTTCCTCTGCCGTATTTCCTGCTTGCTCGGCAGCTCAATGTCGGGATTGTTAGCTACCTTGAGGGCCTGCTGCTCGCGCGTCCTCTCTTCGAGCAACTGCTTCAGCTCATTCGGCTTCAGCTTCTTGCCAGCCGTCTCGGCCTCCTTCTCCAACTGCTCCGTCATGCGGCGCACCATGCCCGTGTACGGCTGTCCGGGGTATATCTTGCCGCTGGCCTCCCATTCCTCGTCGGAAACTAGTTCGACGATGCGCACATTGTGCTTCCCCTTGCGGAGGATCAGAATCTTCTCATCGATGAGGTACTTGGCCGTTTCTTCCGGGAACCACATCTTCATCGGGGTCCAAGACAAGTTGCCCGGCACGAGGCCTCGGGTCTGGCCTGGCTGGGCGGCCACGTACGCGCCTTGCTGGGAGACGAGGCGCTGGCCGTCGCTGTTGCTACTAGCCAGGCCAGTTGCGAAGAGAAGCTTCGCCGGGGAGAGCTTCATGACGGACCGGGGCAGCTGAATGTCGCTTCGGGGCGCGTTGTTGGGCGTGACGATTCCGCTGTCCTTGGAGGGCTCGTTTATGACGTGCGGCAGCTCTCCGCCGAACCGGAACTTGTGCTGCTGCGCTTCCTGGAGGGCCCTTTGCGAGCCGTAGACCAGGGACAGGACCTCAAAGGCGAGAGTGTGCTGGGCGACCCTCTTGGAGGGGTCGGCGCAGTGCTGCGTCATGGTCTCCTGGATCTGTGCCATGGGCATAAACGTAAACAGCTTCAGCAGCTTCTCCACCTCGTCGTCCGGCCGGCGCATAAAGTACCCGTAGAGCTCAAAGGGCGACGTCTTGAACTCGTCCAGCCAGACGGCGTTGCCTGCGCTCTTGCCAAACTTGGCTCCCGCCGAGTCGAGAAGAAGAGGCACCGTGAAGCCCATGGGTTCGTGCTGCCACTCCGTGGGCATCTTTGCGTGCGGCGCCTCTTCACTGTCGCGGATGACCTTGAGGGCGTCGATGCCCGCCACGATATTTCCATACTGGTCCGAGCCACCAATCTGCATCTGAACGCCCAGCTTGTTGTACATGTGCCAAAAGTCCCAGCCCTGGAAGAGCGGATACATGAATTCTCCAAGGGACATACCATCGCCCTCGGTCATCTTGCGCTTCACCGTTTCGCGGGAGAGCATGGGTCCGATTCGAGTGTTTCGCGCAAGCCGCTTCGTGAAGTCGTATACAGACAGGCCCTGGAGCCACATGTTGTTGTTCAGAAGATGGCGCTTGGCAGCCCAGTCCTTTTCGTAGCCATACTTTTCTCGCAATGCCACGACGTTTCTCCACAGTCTGGTGAGCTGGTAGTGTATTTTGGTGACGTTTTTTGAAATCTCCGAGTTGGGCATGTGCTCGCGGCTTTGTAGCCGCCCGGTAGGATCGCCAATTCGAGCGGTGGCGCCGCCGAGGAGCGTTACGGCCGGGTATCCGTGGAACCAGAGCCAGAAGAGAGGCATGAAGGGGAGGAGATGGCCGATATGCAGCGAGTCGGCGGTTGGGTCGACGCCGACGTAGGCGCCTATTCTCTTGATGCGCATGACTTCTTTGATCTTGTCCGGGGTGCTGTCGAATTCACCGTTAGCAAAGAAGAAGAAAAAGGTCATTTCGACCATTCATGAGGGTTACAGCGGTCTCATACCCAGCAACGTCCTTGATGTATCCTCTTTCATCAAGGACATCCCAAACATGGGGCAGCTCCCCATTTTGAATTTGCTGCGCTCTCTTCTCCCACCGCTCCTCGCCGTCGGCAACCTTTTTCAAATACGAAGTCGCAATGCCCCTCGTTTGCTGCAGCTCGCGTGCAGGCCACGATAACGGCACTACGCCTCGTGACGCACCGCAACGCCTAGCCAGGCACCTCGAAGCTTGAAGTCGCGGCGCCATTGCGAAATCCAGAATGCCAGCCAGCATCCGAGGAAACGAACGGCAGCGCCCAACAGGTCCCTTCCGCCCGTCAAAAAAAAGAATCAACGTGCCGCCGCAACCTATAGTGCCAATATCAAAGGACCCCCAGCTCTTGTCCTTTTTTTAGACAAGTGCGCCAACAGCTCTCCTTGAAAATTCACATGCCGCCCACCCCCAGACCCAATCAGCGCCGTTCAGCGGAAGCACATTATTGCGCCCCCGACAATTCGGCTGTATGAAAGCCAGTCGGAACGCACCCAGCCAATCAGCAAGCAGGTATTTCGAGTCCCTCGGCAATCCAATCCTCAATCCCCAGGACCAAGCACAGCCGAAAGGGCCTGGCTTCTTACCTCCCGCCGACCACCACCCGCGCCCTCTGAACCGCACCCATTTCGCGAAAACCTGCCCTCAACACCCGCGGTTTGCTCGGTTCGAATCCAACGACAATGGCATCGATTGTGCGTCCCTCGCTGCTGCGGCACTCCGCGCTGGCCGCTCGCTCCAGAAGCGCCATGGCCCCGAGAGCAGCCGCCTTCCACAGCTCGAGCAGGAAATCTGCCATCCTGCCTCCCGGACCCCGTGCGTATACTTGTCCCTCGTTGGATGTCAATCGCATTCATAGCATTTGCTAACATCATCGTATAGAGGAAATCCAGGGTGGAGGTACGAACACGCTCCCCGAATTGCTCACCCACCCTCTCTCCGCGCACGTCGATGCTCCGTTGTCAACATCAGCTAACACCTTCCAGTCAACGACCCTGCTCCCGTTCCTCCCCCCTCGGCCGCCCACGGCTCGTACCACTGGACGTTTGAGCGCCTCCTGGCCGCGGGCCTGGTGCCTCTGACCATTGCCCCCTTTGCATCGGGCTCGCTCAACCCCACCATGGACGCGATCCTGTGCTCGGCCGTCCTCATCCACTCCCACATTGGCTTCCAGTCCGTCATCATCGACTACATCCCCAAGAGGCGATACCCCGGTCTGCGCAGGCTGTTTTGGTGGGGGCTGAATGCCGCCACCGTCGTCGTAGGCGTTGGCCTGTACGAGTTCGAGACGAATGACGTCGGCGTCACCGAGGCTATCAAGCGCGTGTGGAAGGCATAGATGGGGAAGAGGCACTTGACGCGGAGCATTGGGAGGGGAGCAAGGACGTGTAAAGACGGAAGAAGGGGCGCTCATTGGGGGTGGTCTTTCGATTTTGAATTGTGCGCTTGGGACGCATTTGGGATGTCTCCGCACGTGTATAGATGCTGTCTGTTAAACAGGAAACGGAATTTATTCCCTTTGTCGATTAGCTGGAGTGCCATGTTCCAGATCCTGCGGCGCCGCCATGTTGGCAAATTGTCGGGCATTGCACCGATCTACTGACTTCTCGCAGAGTGACGCTACAAAGGATGGAAGAACACCACGACTCAAAAAGCTCTCGAGCGGCCAGATATGACCCGGTAGTCTGCTAACAGTGAGATGCAAAGGTCGATACAAGTTCAATCACGCGTGCAATCATGTCGATGATAGCATATAGGGTCATTCGAAAGTGATTATTATTCATTTTCAAGTAACGCTAATTCACGACCTTTACTTCGATTTGGCTTTTTTTGTTTTTGTTACTGGCTCTCGGTTTATTTGGCCCCGTAATACGCCACGTTTTCTCTCTTCATATTATCCAATTTCGTCGTCGTTTTGTCTCATGACCAGCTAAGCTTTATGTTTTTTTTTTCAGGGTATAGTGTTGGACGATACCCGTATCTCTCGAAAAATTGGAATCGCAAGTGTTTGCATCTGCAATCAAATAGTCAAGCTAGGCATCTCCTGGCCGCCAATGCGGTCCATTTCGGGAGTTGGGGGAGGCAGGTTCTCAACCTTGGTGCAGATCCAGCAGCTGGCATACATATTGACACGGTCAATACAGGCGCCGTCAATTCTGCCACCATGGCGCTTAGCTGTGAAGCCATGGGCCTCAAAGACCTTGACATACCAAGGTGTCAAGGCAGAAGTACGCAGCATAACACGGCCACCCATCTTGAGAGCGCGGTTCAGCTTGGTGATTTGAGCAGCGGCAGCGGGAGAGCCAGGGTCGAACCAGTCCATGCTGTCCATGACAACGGCGACAGTTACGGTTCCAGGACTAATACGCGCAATGACTTCCTCAAGCTCATCGGTATGGATGCGAAGACTGTCCAGCGCGCCAGGCTTGGAGAGCTTGGCGTGAACTTCACGAGAGAGGTAATGAGGGTGACAGTCGCGAGAGAACTGGCCAGCGAGACAGACGTAGTAGTATGGGTTGTCCTTTGCGAGGTGTGTCTCCTCTGCAACAGGGTCTAGAGTGTTCACCATGTAATGCCAGATAGCGTGGGATCGAGTGTTCTTCGCGACAGGCTTTTCACCTTTGACAAGGTCAGATTCGGCATGATCCTTCTCAATCATGGCAAGTTGATTCTTGGGTACACCAAGGGCGGTCCAGAGGAAGCTTTCTTGGGCAACAACGAGGTTGCACACGAGCTTGGATAGCAAGGCCGGGCGAATTTTCTGGCGCCAGATTTCTCGCTGTTCATTCAGAGTCTTTGCCTGAAGGAGCTTCTTCACAGTACCCCGAAGACCAAAAAGACGGGAGACCCAGCGCATGGCCCGGATGGCATGGCGGGAACCGCCGGTATCATACAGGCCGTAGCCGCTCTTGTTCTGGAAGACATGGGTGTTGTTGAGCCAGAACTGGAATGCACGGGCAGACAAGTGAGGAGAGAGCTTGTTGATAAGAATCTCGCGGAACTCGGGATGCTTGCCCTCGCCGAAAATCATCCAGAAGTCGTCATAGGAGAGGGCAGTGTAAGAAGCGGCTTTCAGTTCCAAGAGATGATTCTGG